CCCTCCCCGTGTCCTCAAGTCCATTCTCTAGTAGGTCTGTGTCTTTATTCCCGCCTTGCCCCTAGGTTCTTCATGACCTTTTTTTTCTTAGATTCCATATATTTGTGTTAGCATACGGTATTTGTTTTTCTCTTTCTGACTTACTTCACTCTGTATGACAGACTCTAGGTCCATCCACCTCACTACAAATAACTCAATTTCTTTTCTTTTTATGGCTGAGTAATATTCCATTGTATATATGTGCCACATCTTCTTTATCCATTCATCTGTCGATGGACACTTAGGCTGCTTCCATGTCCTGGCTATTGTAAACAGAGCTGCAATGAACATTTTGGTACATGACTCTTTGAATTATGGTTTTCTCAGGGTATATGCCCTTTAGTGGGATTGCTGGGTCATATGGTAGTTCTATTTTTAGTTTTTTAAGGAACCTCTATACTGTTCTCCATAGTGGCTGTATCAATTTACATTCCCACCAGCAGTTCAAGAGGGTTCCTTTTTCTCCACACCCTCTCCAGCATTTATTGTTTGTAGATTTTTTGATGATGGCCATTCTGACTGGCGTGAGATGATATCTCATTGTAGTTTTGATTTGCATTTCTCTAATGATTAGTGATGTTGAGCATTCTTTCATGTGCCTCTTGGCCATCTGCATGTCTTCTTTGGAGAAATGTCTATTTAGGTCTTCTGCCCATTTTTGGATTGGCTTGTTTGTTGTTTTGATATTGAGCTGCATGAGGTGCTTGGAAATTTTGGAGATTAATCCTTTGTCAGTTGCTTCATTTGCAAATATTTTCTCCCATTCTGAGGGTTGTCTTTTGGTCTTGTTTATGGTTTCCTTTGCTGTGCAAAAGCTTTTAAGTTTCATTAGGTCCCATTTGTTTATTTTTGTTTTTATTTTCATTTCTCCAGGAGGTGGGTCAAAAAGGATCTTGCTGTGATTTAGGTCATAGAGTGTCCTGCCTGTGTTTTCCTCTAAGAGTTTCATAGTGTCTGGCCTTACATTTAGGTCTTTAATCCATTTTGAGTTTATTTTTGTGTATGGTGTTAGGGAGTGTTCTAATTTCATTCTTTTACATGTAGCTGTCCAGTTTTCCCAGCACCACTTATTGAAGAGGCTGTCTTTTCCCCACTGTATATTCTTGCCTCCTTTATCAAAGATAAGGTGACCATATGTGCGTGGGTTTATCTCTGGGCTTTCTATCCTGTTCCATTGATCTATATTTCTGTTTTTGTGCCAGTACCATACTGTCCTGATTACTGTAGCTTTGTAGCATAGTGTGAAGTCAGGGAGCCTGATTCCTCCAGCTCTGTTTTTCGTTCTCAAGATTGCTTTGGCTCTTCGGGGTCTTTTGTGTTTCCATATAAATTGTGAAAATTTTTTGTTCTAGTTTTGTGAAAAATGACAGTGGTAGTTAGAGAGGGATTGCATTGAATCTGTAGATTGCTTTGGGTAGTAGAGTCATTTTCACAATGTTGATTTTTCCAATCCAAGAACATGATATATCTCTCCATCTATTTGTATCATCTAATTTTTTTCATCAGTGTCTTATAATTTTCTGCATACAGGTCTTTTGTCTCCTTAGGTAGGTTTATTCCTAGATATTTTATTCTTTTAGTTGCAGTGGTAAATGCGAGTGTTTTCTTAATTTCACTTTCAGATTTTTCATCATTAGTGTATAGGAATGCAAAAGATTTCTGTGCATTAACTTTGTATCCTCTGCAGGGAATTCTCTGCATGGGGCAGAGCAGGAGGGAAGGGGAGCAGGTTTTGGAGTCAGGGGATCTGGTTTCTAATCCTGGCTCTGTCACTGTCTAGCTCTGTGACCTCCAGCTGGTTGCTCCCTCTGGGGGTGTGAGGGTCACAGTTTGATCATCAGGACATTGGGAACAATAGTAATCATCCTGACCATGGGGCTGCTTGGTCAAATTGCTCTGTGATCCGTGTATGTGGAAGAATGTGATAAGCCATTAAAGTGGCAAGTACTGGTAGAAATGAGGAGGTGCTCTTGACAGTGGGAGGACTCTGCTTATGGAGACATGCATTCTGGAACATTCTCTCCAGTTGCCCCTTTGGCAGCAAGATGGAATGGCTGGAAACAGGGATACAATGAGACGCCTCTATTCATGGCTTGCATAAATTAATTCCCGGAACTTTGTGATGGCAAGAAAGAAAGCTTTGAGGAGTTAGCATATGTAGTCACCAGAATTCAACAGGAAAAACCATCCAGTTGGGACAGAGAATGGCGCCTGAATCTCTGGAGGGGGTCAGGAACGCCAAATGCAAGAGCGAGCAGGTGTATGTCTTAGCATCTGTGTAAGGTCTTATAAGAAGGGAATACAGGAAGCAGAAACTTTAAAAAATTTAATTAGATACGCAAGTATTTGAGTCCCCTAATTCCACCCTGGGGTTCCTTATGGTAGGCAGCAAAATCAGGGGCTTTAGGACAACCCTTGAGTCCAGAACATTCTCTCCTGCTGCTTGAAATTCTGACTTTAGGGATTCCCTTCTTTGGGTCCTTTTTGGATTTTGATAAATCCTTTTTTAAAGTTTCAGTCGCTCCTGGGAGGGTCCATTCACCTGTTTTTTCTTCTTTTCTTTCTTTTTTAATGGAAGCAAATTTCACATAACATAAAATGTACCATTTCTAAGTGGATAATTCACTGCCACTTAGTACATAGCGTTGTGCAGACACCGCCTCTATCTAATTCCAAGACATTTCTGTGACCCAAAAGGAAACCCCATACCTGTTAGCTAAGCAGCTACTCCTCGTTCTGCTCCTCCCAGCCCCTGGAAACCACAAATCTGCCTTCTATCTCTGTGGATTTACCTATTCTGGGTATTTTATGTAAACGGAACCATACAATACATGGCCTTTTGTGTCTGGCTTCTTTCACTTGGAATGATGTTTTTATTTTATTTTATTTTTTTGCCGTACGCGGGCCTCTCACTGTCGGGGCCTCTCCCGTTGCGGAGCACAGGCTCGGGACGCGCAGGCTCAGCGGCCGTGGCTCCCGGGCCCAGCCGCTCCGCGGCACGTGGGATCTTCCCGGACCGGGGCACGAACCCGCGTCCCCTGCATCGGCAGGCGGACTCTCAACCACTGCGCCACCGGGGAAGCCCTGGAATGATGTTTTTGAGGTTCATCCACGTTGTAACATGTATCAGCACTTCATTCCTTTTTGTGGCTGAATAGTACTCCATGATGCGTATATATCACATTTTGCTTATCCTTTCATCACGTGATGGGCATTTGGGTTGTTTCTGCCTTTTGGCTGTTGTGAACAGTGCCGCCGTGAGGTGCATGTACAAGGGTTTGCCTGAGCATCTGTTTTCAATTCGTTTGGGTCTATATAAAGGAGTAGAATTACTGAGTCATATAGTAATTCTATGTTTAACTTTCTGAGCACCTGCAAAGCTGTTTTCCGCGGTGGCTGCACCATTTTACATTCCTACCAGCAGTGTACAGGGGTTCCAGTTTCTCCACATCCTTATCAACATTTATTATTTTCTCTTTTTTGATGATAGCCATGCTCGTGGGTACGATGTGGTATCTCATGGTTTTGATTTGCATTTCCCTGTTGACTAATGATGCTGAGCATCTTTTCATGTTCTTGTTGGCCACGTATATCTTCTTTGAAGAAACATCTATTTTCAGATTGAGTTATTTGTCTTTTTTTGTTGTTGAGTTGCAAGAGCTCTTTATATATGCTGGATACTAGACCCTTATCAGAGATATGATTTGTGGATGTATCCTCCCATTGTATCCTTTCACCTACATTCATATGTTTTTAATTGCATCTTAGACCCTGCTGTTATGTGTGGATTTGATTAATAAATCTCTTGGAGGGAATCTTTGCTTCTAAGTTCTTGGTGGCAGTGGAATGTCTGTCTTGATGGATCTGTCTTTGCCGATGCTCCTGTAACTCCTGCACACGTACCATTTTTTGGCATCGTGGCATTCCTTTTGCCTTCTCTGTGGAAAAGGATGCCCAGAGCCTCACTGGGCATTTCTTATTAGTCCACAGGCCTCTGGGAAGCAGAGGGGGTTCAGGTGCCTTCACAGCTAAGCATGTGCTGACCCTCTGCAGCATTAGTTCATGCACCCGGAAGTCCAATGACACCCTTTTCGTATTACTTACATTTAGTTAAGCACAGCAAGCAGCTTGGCTTTCCATGGCCCTGTCTTCCTCCTGATTGTTCTCCAGACAAGTCCACAGCATCTGGGCAAGTCCCAAGGCCATTGTCAGAGAACTTGGATGTTGCCTTGCAATCCCCGTGGTTACAGAGGAGATGTATTCTGGTTAGTAGCAACATGAAGATAGTTTTAGGAGCAGGGAAGAAACGGCAGACAATCCAGGCTGGGAACTCTCTTTGGCCTTTGCTCAATGGCTGAAGCAGCTGGGGCCCTGGATTCTTCCTTGGGGAATTGAGTTCTGCAAGCATCGTACCAGGCAGTCCTTGGCCACTTCAGCCTGCCTGAATGCTGTATTTCTTTTGCTCCTCTGAGGACCGCATGGTCCCACTGTTTCCTCTTCACAGTGTGATCAGTGCTGCCTGCCTCCCCCTTGGTGCCCTGGCTGGTGCCATCCCCTGGGCTGGCATAGCCCCTGCAGCCTCTCAGACCCTCCCACCTCATGGGGGCCCTTCCCCATCCCCAGGGGAAGAACCGGGCCCCAGATTCCATCCACGCCTGCCAGACACATCTGTCTCATCTCCGTCCCACGGGACCCCTGAAACAGAAAGCGATCTGGTTCCCAACACACCGATCAGACAGAAAATTAACAGACGTGGCAAAACGCTGGGGCTCCTACTTTGGGGCGCTTGTAAAAGTAACAGGACACTTAGTTTTCAAAGGAGAAAGGCATTATGGTCACTCTTCCCTTACATGTCCCAGAGGAAAGGGGAGAGCTGTTCTAACTCCCTATTTTTGCTCCCTGTTTTGAACTAAAATGGTCATGTACATATATATGTATATAATTTTTTTTCTACCCCACAGAATTAAGGCAGCAGCAGGTGTGAAAATAACCGCAGTGAGAGTCAGCAGTGAAGACCAGTGGGCGGTCCAGGAAGAAATTGACAATGACAGTGTTCAGACAGCAGCCACCCTCACCTGCGTGGGTCATCACCCGGACACACAGAGCAGGTAAGCGCTGAGATGCTCAAGGTACCTCGGCAGTGGTGGGTTGGGGATGGTTGCAAATGCTGATAGGAAAGTAATGAGTGTATAAATAAAGTGGTGCCTCTGCATTTTTATTTTTTTTGTGCCCTTTTAAAAAAAATTTTTTATTTTATTTATTTTTTTATACAGCAGGTTCTTATTAGTTATCCACTGTATACATATTCGTGTATACATGTCAATCCCAATCTCCCAGTTCATCCCACCACCACCCTCCCCCCGCTCCACGTTCCCCCCCTTGGTGTCCATACGTTTGTGCTCTACCTCTGTGTCTCTATTTCTGACCTGCAAACCGGTTCATCTGTACCATTTTTCTAGGTGCCTCTGCATTTAATGGGAGATGTGTTCCTTTGAATTCATCCGCTCAGCTCCGTCCTACAGCTTCTGAATGTATTATCGGATGTGCTGCAGGATCAGGGCTTTATCCTTTCTGCTCTTTATACATCAATGACCTAATTAGGTTGGCAATCTCAAAAATTACCTGAACTCCTGTTTGTCACAGTGCAGGGTTTGATAACCATTATTTTAAAATTTTATTATTGTTACTGTTATTGTTGGCAGTGAAGAGCTGAAGAATGAAGTGGGGAAAATAGAAATGATTTAAGAGGCAAGGGGGAAATGTACATTTTAATGAGTGAACTGAGGGTGCCTCTAGCTGTCACGTAATTGTCTCCCAGTGCTTAAAGGTAGTCGTTTTGCAGCTATCACACCTGGGTATTGGCGTATGGCCTCGGGATGTGAAGTTGGGGAACTTGGCACTGCTGGCACGTCTTCTCCAGCCCCGATAGCAGCCTTGGGTTTTATGGGGCGGAGCTTGCCTGGGAAGCAGAAGGAGGTTGTTGCTAATAATCTTGCATCTGGGCTCCCAACAGGCAGAATGAGCTCTCACCCCTGTTGCCACAGTCTTTTCTACAGTCTCTTGGCCCCTCTTCTCTTCCCTTTTGACCGAGCAATGCTGGCCATGCAGTTTCCCCCGGCTTTAAAACCATCAATGGCTCCCACTTCAGCCAGGATGAGACCCCTACTCCTCAGGCTGGCATAGAGCCCTGTTTAGATCTTTCACTTATCACCTTCTAGTGTCTAACCTGTTCTCTTTTCTTTCGTTTCTTGTTTTTTTTTTTTTTTTTCTCTTTTTGCCACACCGTGCAGCATGCAGGATCTTAGTTCCCCGGTGAGGGATTAAACCTGTGTCCCCTGCCATGGAAGGGCGGGAGTCTTAACCACTGGACCACCAGGGAAGTCCCTCTTTTCTTGTTTTTAAACCCTTTGAGGTCCACAATGTTGGGCACCAGAGGGGCACTGGGTGAATGACTGAGGGAGCTCGTGGGTGGGTGGGTGGGAGCATGAGAAATGGAGAGATTGTGTGAAGCTTTTGCCTTTTCTAATGGATTTCTAGGCTGAGGGCTGTCTCTGCTTGGGCGACCTCAGCCAACCTCAGCTAGAACTCCGTTCTGCCTGATTTTGAAGAGCTCTTTCAAAGGGCAAGAGTGACTCAGGTTGAGTGATCAAAAGCCTCTGACTAGGAACATTGATCAGGTGATCTGGGTTCCTCTCACTCCCAACTCAACATTCCGGTCATCGTCCTTTACATCCCTTGACAGAGCTTTTAGTCTGCAGCCTCATGTGACCCATGGTTTCCCTGGAAATCTGAATCTGCTGTCTGAACACTCCCCTATCCTGAGCTGTCGATACCTGGAAAGAGTCTAGGATTTTTATATTTGCTCAGTTGCAGGTACTAGAATTCTCACCTAAAAGTGGCTGCAACAATAGGATTTTGTCATCTCATGTGACAGGAAGTTTGGAGGTGGGTGGTTCCGTGGTTGGTTAATCCAGCAGCACAATTGTGTCACCCAGGTGCATTCCGTCTTCCTACTTTATCATGCCCAATTCACTGGCTGTCATCCTCCAGCTTGTTTCCTCACAGCTGCAAGATGGCTGCAGCAGTTCCAGGCATCACAAACTTATCTAGTTGTATACAAAGACTGGAAGGGAGGGGGGGCTTCTCTTTTTGCCAGGAAAGAAGACCTTTCCATCTGGAAAGAAGACTTTCCCTGGAAGTCTAAGATCTCATCAGTAGTTCCATGCCTTTGCTCAAGAAGCAGGGTAGTCTGCAAAGTTGAATATCTGGTATTACTTTCAGGCTTTGTACTGAGAGAGAGTCTTTGATGTCAGGGAGAAGGATGGTCAGCTAGCAGTATCTGCCATGCTTTTTAAAGGTGGGATGTTTCCAGGGTCGTGCCTTGATCTCTGTTTTGACTCCACTGGAAGACTTCCTCTTGGTTTTGCTGGGGTGTTTATCCGGTGGACTTTGTCTGACGGATGCCCTTAGGTACCACACGATTGAAGCCCACGCAGAAAGGGCTCCTTGACTCCTTGTGCAGATGGAGAAATTCGGGGGGGACAGGTGCCATAAGTGTCTGGATGCAGCATTCTTAGCAGCCTGGCTCTGTCTTTCCTCTGGGTTGGCGTCGTCTCCAGCAGGTCTTCCCAGCATCAGTCCTACTGGCCTGGTCACTTCAGGGAGAACACTGTTCTGCTCCATCACATCCAGCGCAAGTCTTGGGGCTGCTCATCACTGGCTCTGCCTGGAGTAACATGGATCTCGTACTCACTCTGAACCAATCTCTGTAGCCAGCTGTAAAAGTAGGGGATGGGTGGGGCTTCCCTGGTGGCGCAGTGGTTGAGAGTCCGCCTGCCGATGCAGGGGACGCGGGTTCGTGTCCCAGTCCAGGAAGATCCCACATGCCGGGGAGCGGCTGGGCCCGTGAGCCATGGCCACTGAGCCTGCGCGTCCGGAGCCTGTGCTCCGCGGCGGGAGAGGCCACAATAGTGAGAGGCCCGCGTACCGCCAAAAAAAAAAAAAAAAAAAAAAAAGTAAGGGATGGGTGAACCCACCTGAATGACTTGGGCTTAGAGTACGGGAGAGGGTTCTTGGGGGAAAATGGGAGGGCAGAAACAAGAGGTGGCCAGGAAGTGACGACAGTCCTGCTGACCCTCTTATTGGGCTGGAGGAGCCCCAGTGGGATGCCTGGACGAGCCCCAGTGGGATGCCTGGACTCACACCCTCAGAAATCACCGTGTGGGTGTCTAACGGCCGTCTCCGTGGTCTGCACATGGGAAATTGACTTGGTTGAAATACTGGCTGATGGAGTGGTGATGTTTTAAATTGAAGGGAAAACACAGGCTGTGGTTATCACTTTCGGTTCTGAGAGAATCAATTTTGCATTTTCTTTAGAAGAGATTAAAAAAGTTACAAGAGAAAAAAAGTAGTTACATAACCAGAGTTACATAAGTATCAGACTTTGCAGCATCGTCTTCTCTTACTTCACTTTCCGTTTTTGCCCTTCCCTGTGCTGTTAGAAGGGCAGGGATTGTTGCTGGCATGACAATTTATGCTTATCTAATATCCCTCTAAAATCGCTTCCATAATCTAAATAAATAATTGCTTCTTTTTATACTTTTTTTTGGTTGTTGAATTGTGAGATCAAATGAGGTGTGAAATACCAGCTCATGGACTGTGTTTGTCAGGCTAACACAGTGAATCTGTGAATATATCCCTAACAGAACATCCCGAGGAAAGCTGTTATCTCTGAATTGTGACAACCTTGGGCGGAATAGGGTTTTTAATAGAATACAAGGTACCAACTGCCTGAAGTTCTGTGATAAGAATTAAAAATGTGTCAGTATGGGAAGACTCAATGGGCTCGGTTAGGAAGGCAGAAAGGTCTTAATTCAAAATATTTTAATGAACACTCATTGTGAGGAAATGTGAGTAATAAAGATGGAAACCACAAGGGACTTCCCTGGTGGCGCAGTGGTTAAGAATCCACCTGCCAATGCAGGACACACCGGTTCGAGCCCTGGTCCGGGAAGATCCTGTGTGCCACAGAGCAACTAAGCCCGTGTGCCACAACTACTGAGACTGCGCTCTAGAGCCCGTGCTCCGCAACAAGTGAAGCCACTGCAATGAGAAGCCCGCGCACCGCAAAGAAGAGTAGCCCCCGCTCGCTGCAACTAGAGAAAGCCCACGCACAGCAACGAAGACCCTACGCAGCCAAAAATAAATAAAATTAAATCTTAAAAAAAGATGGAAACCACAAGATAACGAGTCGCATTGCCCAACGAAACAAGAAGGGATTAGAAAAATAAGCAAATTTGAGAGTGTTCAGAACAGATAAAATGAAACCAAGAGAAATGAAAGCCAGATGATGGACTCTTGGTGTGGGAAACCACGTGCAACCAGCTAGGTTGAGATGAGGTTGTTTCTTCAGTGATTTCTGTCTGGCCGTTGGGACCCAAACCTCAGAGAAAATAAGGTGGCACTCAGCGTGGTCAAAAGCCACAATGCAGAGCTCATTCTTGTCTGAAAGTTGGTACAGAGGCAGAGAGAAGCTCCAGGGTGCACCATAGAAAGGGGAGTCTGTGCTTCTCCATAGGATAGAAAAGCCAAACCCTAAATTTACATTTGTTATATATAATGAAAAGCATGGCAAAAACAAACTTCTATTAATCGATTTTTGAGATTTTTCTGTGAAAAGTTCTTGAAAGAAATAGACACACCCCACATGATTGTAGCCCAGTTGAAGGTGAAATCGACCTCAAAGTTAAATGTTTACTGTGAAGTGTTACCATGTTTGAACATCTGGATTTACTGTTTCAGGAGTCTTTCTCGGCCTGCTCTAATCCAGAAGTGATTATAACGGGTTGAGCAGAAGAAGGGATCACCCTTTCAACTAACTTGACTAACTCATTGCCTTTTGTGAGAGTTAGCAGTTGAACCTTAAGGAACAAACAGTGGTAATAGAGGAAAAGTCACCATGTCGTGTGTCATTTTATGGATCCGTGAAACACGAACCAGGCTAAATCTTTTATTGTGCTTAAGGCGTCTTATTCAAGTTAGAGAAGGAGAAGAAGAAGAAAAGAAGGGGGAGGGGGAGGGAGAGGACAGGGGGTGGTTACTTTCCTTC